GCCTTCTTCAGCTATGCAGTTCCTTCGTTCCTCCACCACATCGAGCAAGCTGCACTCTCTTCCAAGGCAATGCACGTCCCCGCCTGCCTCCCCGAGCCCTGGAGGGCTCTTTGCCTGCCATGCTCCTGCAGCCGAGCTCACAGGGTCCCCGGTGCACCCTCTCCCTGCCTCCCTCCCTGCCTGTGCCAGAGATGCGGCCGCACGTCTCGGGGCTGCGCGCTGAGTGGCGGGCGCTGCTGATGGATGCGAGCAGCAGAGCTTGCTCAGTGCTCCTGACTCAGGTGCAAGGTCTCCTAGAGCTCCTCCATGCCCATTCGGTGCTTCTGTCTTCCTCCTCCTCCTGGCCGGTAGGTAATTATGTAAAAGGAAATTAAATGCCGAGAGGAGCCGTGATGACAGGCAGCATCGAGGATTTCCCTTAAAGCAGGCAGAAATCAAAGGAAGAGGGATATTGTTAGGAAGGCAGTGTGTTTAAAAATCAGATCAAGTCTCTCCCGGCTCAGCGTGCCTATGTGACCGTGGCTCGTCACAGGAGGAGGCCAGCTGTGCCTCTAGACAGGGACAGTATCAGCTGCGTCACTGAGGGGTGCCCGCTGGCAAAATGGCCCACAGCAGGGCTTACAAACCCGGGTACAGCCCGTGCTAATATGTCCTCACTGCAGCTACTTCCATATGGTTCACACCGTCTCTTCTGGATGGATTTAGTGCTAGAACAAGGTCAATTTACCATTTTATATGGCATATATCCCTCCTCCAAGCCTCAGTCCTCCCTGCTCTTAAGATTGCAATGCCAAGCCCAGTGCAGAACGCCACGCTGTCTTCTCCAAATGGATCAGCTAATGTCTCCTCCTATTTAAGGAGCTGTAGAAAGAGAGTCACTGGAATGGTTATCAGAAAGATTTGCTTTTTTCTATCAGGTCCCACGTTAAGATAGCTGTTGAGGTAAGAAGACTGAATACACTAGAGGTCTTTGCTCAAACCTAGAGCATGTCCTCCAGAGATGCTTAGGAGCATGGTGACAGAAAGGGCTGATCTTGCCGATTGTGGTTGCAGTGAGTAGCGGAGCACTGCGAGCGCTAGCAGAAGGGTATGCAAGCAGGCTAATGTTTAATTTCCTGCATTCCATGTCTATTGGGTGGCCAGAAGAAGGAAAAGCCTCACCATGCCTTGAAAGAACTATTTTACCCTGAGAGGTACCTGTTTGAAAGAGTTGGATGGAACCTGTGTTTACTGCTCCATCAGCGCTCAAAGAACAGACCAGCCTCACTGACTGGCCCCTGCTCACCCAAGAGTTGGCATCCCCTGCATGGTCTGACACCATCCACAACAGAAGTGCTGGAGCTGGAATTTGAGGTCAAGTCCCAGCCTCAGTAAAGCTTGGGACAATAGCCCTGGGATTTCACGAATGTCAGGATTTGTTGCTTCATCATATCCTTAGCATAAGGCAGGCCAGATCCCAGCTTAGCTGCTGTCATCTGGTGACTTGGGAAGACCGTAAAATAGCAAAGAAAAGAGGTGGGAACTCAGTGCACTCTGTCAGGTGAGCAGATCTGACCGGGAAGGTGCACACTGAGAGCCTGTGCTGGAGCACTTTGTCCTCTGGCTGCTGGAACAAATGTGTCGACATCAGCTCCTGAATACGCACATAGAAGGAGTTGGTGTTGGTGTGCAGACCCTTTGTGAGTGATTCATCTGCTACAACCACAGCTGTCTGGGTCCAAAGCAGAGTCAATGGAAGGTGAGGGAGGAAGGATGTCTCCAAAACATGGATCAACCCATGTCCAAAGTGGCTGAAGGAGGCAACATGAGATGTTAGCCCTCCAGCAGTTCCTTTCTCCAGGGAATCTAGGTAGAACCTAGGTGATATATTTAGACCTACCCTTAGGGTTAGGCAAAAGAAGGTGATGGGACTCTGAAGAAGACGTAGCCCTGTCCATCACCCACCTTAACTGTCTTCAAGATTTAGGAGAGGACAGGATGAAAGGGTGGCCATCTCTCTCAGATTCCTGGACACCACTGGGCAGAGGACTTCTCCTGATTTTAATAACATGGTGTATTTGCTGGAGGAAACACAATATTAACAACAACAAAAAAAGCCCAGCAACCCAGATCTTCACTTCATGATCACTCCTAGCCGATAATCCACCTCACTTCTTGCAGAATAAACCATCCTTAACCCGCTTCACCCTGCAGAGGTGCCTGTTCCTCTGCACTGAATGGAAAGGAGCACATATAACCAGCTTCAAGGAAATACCCAACTTCTAGGCAGTTAGTGAGGTGAGAGGGATTCCATTTTTTTCAGCTTAAATCTCCTCTTAAAGAGGTTTTCCTTTTACTTAATTTTTTGATGTGGCTACTTTAAGACTTAATGAGATTTAGCGGAACATCTAACGTCCTTCCCCTCATGTCTCGAGTGCTTTACGCAATGCTTTTGCTGGGAATTTGCCTGCGTGAGCCTGCAGTATTCAGCACAGGGCATCCCCCCACAAAAAAAGGACTGTCTATCCACCGATGCTGTGCCTGTCTCCCCTATAACCCTGCTGTTGATCTGAAAGAGATTTGCAGCATAAGCCTTCATTATGAAAAATCCTGTTGAAATCTGTGGGATTTTACGAGGTGCCTGCAATCCCTGCAGCCCACGACAAGTAGACTGAAGCTGCTCATATATTTAAGAAGGAGCAACATTAGCTTCAGTTTTTCTTGGGGGTTGCTCTTTTAAACAGGGCAATACAAGCTGGGCACTAAAAAGGATTTTACACATCTCAGCTACAGAGGTGTGTTGGCTGCAGGGTTATCCTGGTGGCATTTGCAAATGGCGTAGCCAAATCTTGTTGTCCCTCCCAGAGCAAAGTCCTATCTGTTTTATCATGTCCTCACTCTTTCTGTACCACGTCTGGGGGCTATTTAAGATCAGAGCTTGTCCTTTTAGCAAAGGCACTCTAAGATGCTTTTCCCTGTCAGTTAATTTAGAAAATTTGTCTGGTCTTTGTGGGTTATTGGAGGATGAGCAGCCGGGGTGGGTTAGCCGTTGTCCTCACTGCCCTGAGAAGGCATCCCCTGCTGAGCTGAGTATGTTCGGGATGAGCCAACCTCAAGTTAAACTATCCTGCACCTGAGTGAGAGGATTCCTCTGTGAGCGTTAAGGAGTTAAGTCTAATGTGGAGATAAATTTCCCGGTTCATTTTCTCCTGATGACAGGCTGATAGTTAACCAATAATCTGCTGTGAATAATGGATATGCTGTGAACTACACACTGTCTGAAATGTCCTGTTCGATATATTCATAGGCTAGGGCTAGGAAATTTCCCAAGGCACCACAACTTGTTGAGGAATGGTTTGAGATCTAAAAACAAGGCCACATCTAACAGGCAACAAATGAATGGATTACTTCTTACTCAGTCCCCTTCCCACTCAGTGGCCAAAGATCAAAATAACCTTCTTAAATGGGGCAACCAAGTTAGAAAGGGAGCCTTCAGCCTTTAGTTGCTCAAGAGTGTGATTTTCAAATGTGATCAACACTGGCCTGGGTGTAACTGAAGAGACTAAAATTCCCATGTCTCCACTG